TTATTTCCATTGATGCTCCCCTCTGATGTCCTTTCACATGCACAATTGCAATTTCTGTGGGGAGCTTCAGGGCTTCTAAAACTTCTCTGATCAGCCGCTCGTGTACTAGCTCCTTCCCTTTTGTATTTATAAGCCCTCTTTCTTCCCATATTTTTCCAAATGTGTGGACCACTCCAAATGCATACTTTGAGTCTGTGTACACTGTCCCTTCCTTATCTCTCAATATACCAATGTCTGTTTTAGGGCATAGAGTTCACAGACTTGTGCTGACCACCCAGCAGGTAATTTCCCCTTTTCAAACACTTCCATCTTCTGCCTCTCGATAATTACATAACCCAATATTTTTCCTTCTAGGCATCGAGAGGACCCATCAATAAATAGTTTTTCTCTATAGGGCAAAGGTTTATTTAACAGATCTTCTCTTATTTTCGTTTGATAATTTATAAAATCCAAACAGTTATGCTCTGGTTCCTAAATATCCTCCCCGATTCTCCTCCCATAATTCTAGTAATTTAACCACTAGTTTTCCTTCACCCAGCACCACACCTATTCCTAATTGCACTTGTAAATCTCTACCTAGCAAATTACATCCTACCCCTGGCATTAACAACAAATCATTAACAGCATATTGATCTTCCCCTTGTATTAACACATTCTTTATAACTGGGACCAAAAACCCCTTCACCTTTAGCCCCTACAGCCCAAGTTGTATCTTTTACATAATCTTCCTCCTGGGGTCTTAATTTCAAATTTATCAAGGGCTCTTCTGTTGGTATATCCCCCAGGAGGTAGAGTCCCTGACACCCCTAGTGATTACCACCCTCATCCTGTTGGGTTACTTCAAACACCAACAGGTCCCGTATTCTCTGGGGGCATTCTTGTTTATAATGCCCCCCCTTCCCACAATGAAAACATTCCCTTGTGATTTCCCTAGCCAGTGGTGCCTCTTGGTTCCGCCTCCCCTTTCATTCCCTTGCCTGTTTCAAATTTGTGATCTCCCGTCTGAGATTCCTTGTGTTTGTTTCTAACAGCTTCTTGTGCAGTTATCATAGTTTTAGCTTTAGTTTTAGCCTCTTCTTCATCCTTCCTAATATCTACTTTCTGTGCTTCTCTCAGGAGTTCCTCCAGACTCTTATTATAATGACCTAGAGTCACTCATATCTCTCCTCCGCTCTTGTTCATTCTGATTCCACTGCAGAGGGGTTACAGGGAGTTTCCTTTCCCCGGGTATCCCCTGCTGATTTTCTCTCTCCCATATCCACATTCCAACCGTTCTGATCATCTGTCTTTCTTCAGGAGAGAAAAAAAAATTCCCGTAATCGACTGCATCTCCTCCCATGTATATATATACTGGGTCCCAAAAATTGATCAGTCTTCTCTGACAGCCCCACAGGGTCCTCTAATAACCTCCTAAATTCATTCTTATACGCCCTCACTTTTACATTAGTGAGCGGCACATCCACAAATCCCATCCCCCCTTGAATTCCTGCCGCTGGGACTTCCCCGCAAGGGATTAACCCTAGCCGCCCCGTGCTCCCTTAAACGATTTCCCTTAAATCATGTACGAGCCGATATTTCCCATTTGGTTTCTTTACAGGCAGAATGGGGGTGTTAAAGGGTGACATACAAGGCTCTAAGATTCCTTGTGCTAATAATCGATCAATTTCTGGTTTTAATCCTCTCCGTCCGTCTAGGGAAATGGGATATTGCTTTACCCTCACAGGTATGTGGGGTTCAGAAACTTGGATTTTAATCGGTGGGATTTCCAGTCTACTAATTGTGTCCGGAGAGTTCCAGACATCGGGATTAATTTGTTTTTGCTCATCCACGGTCAAAGGATAAGTAGACACTGTTAGCTCTTGATTTTTCACTTTAATTTCTAATTGTAATTCAACAATTAATCTCGTCCTAGCAGATTAAATTCTGCTTCAGGGACGAGCAAGAGTTCACCCATTCCAAATTTATTTTCAGTTTCGAATACCACATTTTTGATTTTGTTTACTTTAAATGGTTCTCCTTTTGCCCCAATTACTTGTACTTTTTTCGAGGAAATTTTACATCCCTCAGGTATTTGTTTAATAGTCGATTTTTCAGCCCCAGTGTCTACTAAAAAGGTGAACTCTTGTTTATGGGGACCTATTTTTAATTTTATCAAGGGCTCATGATGACTCCGGTCCCCTAAGATATAGAGCCCCTGGCTCTCCTATTCCGTTTTCAATATTTCCTCATCCCTGATCCTTTCTCTGCAATTCTTCTTTATATGTCCCTTCTTTCCACAATAAAAACAACATCTCTGTTCCTTCTTTACTACTACGTTCCCTTGTTTCATTCCAGCAGATCTGTGTTCACCAGTTCGTCCTTTACGGTCCTCTCTGACCGCTGCTACCATCATTTTTACTTGTCGCTTGCTGCTCTCTTTCTCTCACCTTACATAGACTTTCTGAGCTTCTCTCAATAATTCATCCAACCCTCTATTCTGCCAGTCTTCTAACTTTTCAATCTTCTTTCTGATATCTTCCCATGATTTTGCCACAAACTGAGTTTTGAGGAGTGCTTGCCCTAAAGGGTCGTCTGGATTTACCCCAGAATACAGCTGAAGGGCTTTCCTCAGTCGTTCCAGCCACTCAGTAGGGCTCTCATCTTTCTTTTGCATTTCATTAAATGCTTTATTAATATTCTGGCCACAGGGTACTGCTTCTCTAATTCCCTGAATTACTATAGTTCTCAGGTCCTGCATATGAGTTCTATGCACCGGATCCTGATTATCTCTATTAGGTCTTTGGAGTGGCCATTTAATATCCGCTTGAGGTCCCTGGGCATGTTGAGCATCCCACAGTCTCATTCCTGCTCGTCTAATCATATCTCTTTCCTCGGTAGTAAATAATTGACCAAGGATAGATTGCATCTCATCCCAAGTATAAAGGTTTGGTCCAAAAAATTGATTTAATCTTTCTGCCACTCCGAGTGGGTCCTCAATTAAGTTTCCCATCTCGGTTCTTTTAAAATCTCATAGGTCAGCCGAGTTTAGGGGTACGGAAATATATCCGATCACGGGTTGAGGTCCCCCCATGGGTATTTCCCTTAGGGGGTACATCTGAGCTGCCCCTTTTTGGCTTCTAGTTACACGTCTAGGAGGAGGGGGAGACTCTTGTTCCGACTCCGGTGGGGGAGTGGGCGCTCTGGGGACCTCTGGAGGGGCTGTGGGAGCAGGAGGGGAAATGTAAGGAGGGGGGGTTAGAAGGGTTTCGTCTAACCCTTCCTTCTTTTTCTTTTGTTTAGTTTATTTCATTCAGCGGGTAAAGTCTAGCTCCCAGTCTTTTTAGCCACACTCCCGCATACTGACTTTCTTCCGGGTTAAGGGGTTTTTTATTATTAACCCAGAGATTTAATTGTTGCCTTATCCAATCTTCTTCTGACCCGCAGACTGGCCAAAAGACATTTTTAGAAATCTTCTTCCCTCCCCATATCTTAGTACAATATTCTATCATTTTCTGCTTATCTTTCCCTAGTGTTCCAGGGAAATATCTCCAATTGTCTAAGATATATGCCAGAGGGGTATTCTTAGGTACAGTGGGTACCCTTCCCATGGGAGTCGAAGGCTTGCTGCCCTTCGCCCCCATCTTCTGGATTATCCACAAACACACACTCACTTGCTCCCCTTGTTCCTGGCCCAGTCCCTCGCGGGAAATGGGAAACGCAGTACTTAAGGGTCCGCACTCGCTTGGTTCAGTATATCGAACCTCTCATTCGTTATAATCCAGGAAACCCAATCCCGCCCGAACGGTAAACCCGCGAACAAATTCGCAATATACTTACGCATCCTGCGTCTTCGTCCGGACTCCCGTGCACAGAATTTTTATGGGATTTTACCGGTTTCTCCTTTGCTCATTATTCTAGAATTTAGGTTCGTCGGTAAGGATGGGGTGGGCTATCAGTCGCGGGGCCGCGGATTGCCGCGGGGCGCCTCCCCGGAGGACAGAAGCCCACCGTTCCTTATCCGAGTCACGGCACCATGAAATTGTTATAAATTGAGACCACAATGGATCATAATCCAATTATAATTTTATTAATTATAGCAAGTAGAATATGAGCAAAGACAGCGCTGGACGACAGGGGAGTCTGCGCTCCGCCAACTGCCGTACTGATCAGTTCAAACAGTTCCTTTTTATACATTTTTACATTCGTGGTTGTCTTTGATCAGTACCCCTTCTGCTTGCACAAGTATCTGGTTTGTGTAAGCAATTGCGGTTATCTTAGTCTCACGCAGGTCATCTTGTCTCACAGGTTATCTTGTCTCACACAAGCGGTGTCTGGCAGCTATTTGCATAAGCAGTTTTTCTGTCTTTTGCCGCCTAACCTTTACATTGAGCTTAACATAAATTTCAATAAACAATACCCTTAGTTCATAGTTTCTTACAATGGGGAGGTGTGGGGTGCAGAACTGGGTGCAGAACCGGGGTTTGGGGTGCAGGGGGAGGTTTGGGGTGCAGACCTGGGTGCCGAACCGGGGTTTGGGGTGCAGGGGGAGGTTTGGGGTGCAGACCTGGATTTAGACCTGGGGTTTAGGGTGCAGGGGGAGGTGTGAGGTGCAGACCTGGGTGTAAACTTAGGGTTTGGGGTGCAGAGGGGAGGTGTGGGGTGCAGACCTGGGGTTTGGGGTGCAGGGGGAGGTGTGGGGGTGCAGACCTGGGGTTTGGGGTGCAGGGGGAGGTGTGAGGTGCAGACCTGGGTGTAAACTTAGGGTTTGGGGTGCAGAGGGGAGGTGTGGGGTGCAGACCTGGGGTTTGGGGTGCAGGGGGAGGTGTGGGGTGCAGACCTGGATGTAGACCTAGGGTTTGGGGTGCAGGGGGAGGTGTGGGGTGCAGAACTGGGTGCCGAACCGGGGTTTGGGGTGCAGGGAGAGGTTTGGGGTGCAGACCTGGGTGCCGAACCGGGGTTTGGGGTGCAGGGGGAGGTTTGGGGTGCAGACCTGGGGCATGGGGGATACACGGGGGTGCAGGGGTGAGCCTCCATTTCCAGAGGCCGGGCAGCGCGGTGTGGCGGGGTCTGGCCCCCACCCGTGTGCCAGTGGGCCACCCGCCAGTTTCATTAATTAGCAGCTACAGCTGACGAGTTTCTCCTGCCCCAGCCCAGCCGCGTCACCGCCAAACACACCGCTTCCGCTTTCCTTTTCGCTTTTTCCGCCAGAAGCGGGTAAAATCCCCCCACTCCCCCTCCCTCCCCCCCCCAAAAAAAAAAAAAAAAAAAAATTTCTCCCACCAGCCTGGCGTGTGGCTGGTGCTCCTGGGGTGACGCTCGTGGGTACTTATGCTTGGGGGGGGCGGGGGGGGTGAGCTCAGGGGTGACCCCAGCTTAGCCCCCCCAACTCCCCACAGGATTTTGGCTATGACGGAGGGAGCGGGGCCGGTGCCCAAGCGCATCCTGGTGACGGGTGGCACCGGTTTGGTGGGGAGAGCCATCGAGAAGGTGGTGGCTGATGGAGAGGGGCGGCCGGATGAGGAGTGGATCTTTGTCTCCTCCAGAGACGCCGACTTGACGTGAGTTGACTGCATGGGTTTTCGCTTGGAAACCCCTCCCTCGTTTGCTCCCTTGGCGCTGCTGAACCCCAAAATTTCCCATCCCAGGAATGCCGCGGAGACCAAAGCCCTGTTCGAGCAGCACAAGCCCACTCATGTCATCCACCTGGCTGCCATGGTTGGGGGCCTCTTCAAAAACATCCGCTACAACCTGGATTTTTGGGTGAGCACCTGGGGGATGGGTGGTATCAGGGTCCCTGTGGATGCTGCAACCCCCTGCCCTTTCCCAGCTGGGATGTGGGGACACGGGGACAGGGCTTGCTCTGCTCCCAGGGCCAAACCAGTGCTTCTCTGTTTTTTGGGGTTATTAATGAGTTATTACCCATAGGGTGCAGGGTTTTGGGGGTCCCCACCCCACAGCTCTGACAAATCTCTCCATCCTCAGAGGAGAAACATCCACATCAATGACAACGTCCTGCACTCGGCCTACGAGACGGGGGTGCAGAAGGTGGTCTCCTGCCTTTCCACCTGCATCTTCCCAGACAAGACAACGTACCCCATCGACGAGAGCATGGTGGGCACCTCTGTCCCCGTGCACAGCCCAGGGGGTCCCTGCCCTGCTTAACTCTCAGCTTTTGTCACCAGATTCACAACGGACCACCTCACAGCTCCAACTTCGGCTACTCCTATGCCAAGAGGATGATCGACATCCAAAATAGGTGAGAGAGGGACACGAGTGAGCCCTTGGAAGGCTGCGAGCACCCGCGGGTTATCAGGGCAAGGGGAAGCCCCTTGGACTCTCAGGAATTAAACGGAGCCGGCGGGGGGGATACCTGGGCTCAGCAGATGGAGATGCTGCTGGCCAGGGTCTTCTGGGAACAGCTCTGTGCCGAAGGGGTGGGTGACTGTAGCTGGTGGCCAACCCATCTGCGCCCTCCCTGCTCTCACCCAGGGGCTACTTTGAGCAGCACGGCTGCCGCTTCACCGCCGTCATCCCCACCAACGTCTTCGGGCCACATGACAACTTCAACATCGAGGACGGCCACGTCTTGCCGGGGCTCATCCACAAGGTCTACCTGGCCAAACGTGAGTGCGACAGGCTTTTTTGGGGGAGGGTTGGGATGTGTTTGGTTTTTTGGTTTTTTTTTTTTTTTTTTCCCTCTTCCTGCTCCATGAGCTGCTCTGCAAGGTAGCCAGGGTGGGTAGAGATGGCTCCAATGCTTATGGACATGCTCTTCTTCCTCCTGCAGAGTCTGGCTCTGCTCTGACCATCTGGGGCACTGGCAAGCCCAGGAGACAGTTCATCTACTCCCTGGTATGTGTGATCTTGGGGAGTACTTGCCTCCCCGTGGTTTGGGGAGAGCAGGGTATGGGGGTGGGGGCAGTTCCTGGACCTCAGCAGGGTCTGAGGCCACCTGGGTTGTCCTGGGCAGTGTTGGCCACCCTCAGGGTTGGGTCCCCTTGCGATGGGAGGGCTGGGGGACAGCAGCCACCCCCCCCAAGAGCCATCTGCCCCTCTGCAGGACCTGGCCCGGCTCTTCCTTTGGGTCCTGCGGGAATACGATGAGGTAGAGCCCATCATTTTGTCAGGTAAGCCCTGTCTGCCCCCCCTACAAAAAGGGGCTCCAGCCCCTTTCCAAGAAGATGGAGGAATGGCCACAATCATGCCCTTTTCCACAGTGGGAGAAGAAGATGAAGTCTCCATCAGGGAAGCAGCAGAGGCAATCGTGGAAGCCATGGACTTCAGGGGAGAGCTTGTTGTATCCTTCACTGCAGGCTGGCCCCCCTCACCCACAAAGCTGTGGTGGCATGGGGGGGGGGCACCCCGCTTTCCACCAGCAGCCATAGGGTTCCAGGGGAGATCCCACGGTCCAGAGCAACACCCCGAGCATCCCTCTCCCTGCCCCAGCCAGGACACCGTGGGGCAGAGCAAGACCTGTTTCCCCCTCCTCCTTTAGTTTCCCTTAATCCTTCCCACCCCAGTTTGACACCACCAAGGCGGATGGGCAGTTCAAGAAGACGGCCAGCAACGCCAAGCTACGGCGCTACCTGCCCAACTTCCAGTTCACACCCTTCAGGCAAGGTGAGATGAGGGGGGGGGGGCTCCACAAAACACAGAGGTCCTACCCACCGCAATTAGCCGTGGTGGCATCAGGGTGGTTCATCCTTTCAAAACTTAAAGGGGGCTGATAAAAAGGAGGGGGACAGGCTTTTTAGTAGGGTGTGTTGTGACACGAAGGGAAGAGTCAGACTAGATCCAAGGAAGACGTTTTTTTACACTGAGGGTGGTGAGACACTGGACCAGGTTGCCCAGAGAGGTGGTCGATGCCCCATCCCTGGAAGGGTTCAAGGTCAGGTTGGACGGGGCTTGGAGCAACCTGATCTCCTTGAAGTTGTCCCTTCTCATCGCAAGGGGGGGTTGGACTAGATGACCTTCAGAAGTCCCTTCCAACCCAACCCATTCACTGATTCTGTGAACAAACTGCGTTCCCAATCCCAAAACCCATCCCATCTTCTCCCTTCCCAGCCGTGACGGAGACCTGCGCTTGGTTCAGCGCCAACTACGCCGATGCCAGGAAGTGAGGGGCCAGCGCGGCACCGGCATCATCCTCTTCAACTCAGGGTTGTCCTTTGCTGGGGCAGAGGACGGGGCTGGGGGGAGTGACAGTGACATTTCCAAAGTAAAAAAAGGGCAAGAGCCCAGGGAGCAACCCCCACGTTCCTGCCTGCTGCTAGGAGCGGTGCGGGATGCCGGGGCACCCCAAAGGCTTTGGGACCTCAGACCAGATGGTAGCAGCCAACTGGAGCCACCACCTCTGCCTTGGCCATGTAATGGGTTACACTGCTAATTACCTGTAATTAGGCTGTAATAAAGGGAAGGTGATCAGGGTTGTTTCTGCAGCGCAGGAGTGGCAGCCTGGGCATTTGCTGTTGCTGTTGACATGTGGGGATGGTCTCAAAGCCCCCAAAGCTGCCCCTACCCCAGCATCAAGATGGGGCAGAGGGACCAGGAGTGGGAAGGCTCCAGCTGTAAATATGGCATTTATTAAAACAGATGCAAATAGCATAAAAACGGTGGGGTGAAGAGCGTCTGCCGCGCAGCATGGTCCCGTACCCACGACAAATGGCACCCTTAGGGTCCTGGGCACCGCCCTGTGTTCTCCACCAGGATCTGGAAGAGCCAAAAAAAAAAAAAAGGGGTTTCAAAAGCCCTCGGGGAGGGGGTGGGGAGTCAGACATGGGGTGACAAGTCCGTGGCCAAGTGGCTGCCTGAGGCTTGACCGGTGGCGTGGATGTGGCAGAATTCCTGGCCGGGGATGGCTTTCTTCCGGCATCGCTGCCCGGCCCTGGTGAGCCCCTGGCACGGGGACCGTGGGGACAGCAAGGACCTACGGACGAGAGACCCATCAGCACCCCAGGAAGCCCCCAGTGGGGGCTGTCCCCCCCCCACTGTCAGGTCACTGACTGCACCCCAAGGTGCCACCAGCCCCTGGTGGCCCTGGAGAAGGGATGTCCTCTATGGTTGGTACTCACACGTCGTTGGCCAGAGACTGGCTCGGGCTGCAGGGTTTGGGCTCCCAGCGCTTCCCAGCACCCGTGGCAGACTCCAGCATCGCTTGGCTGGGGAAGAAGCGGTTCGGCAGGGTACCCTCTGGCCCCGGTGACCCTCCTGTCCTGCAGGAGATGTCCCTTGGCCCCTGGGGACGTGGGGGGTCATTAGAGGATGGGTGCTTTGGCTCTTCCTCGTTGGAGAACACCCTCTTCCCCCAAAAGTTCTCCTTCGGCGTTGTGGCCCCACAAGCACTGTGGGACCAGCGCCGGTCCCTTTCCCAACAGGGTGTCCAGCACCCCGAGGTGCAGTCACGATGAGGACACCCCAACCCTAGAGGACCTGACCCTCAAGGGGACCCCCCCAAGCTGGTCCCCCAGGAGCAGGCCCAACCTGGGGACAATCCCACCCCCAGCTCAGGCTTACCCCACACGAGCTCAGCTTTGTCCTCCAGCCGCTGGGGACGGGTGACACCCGCCCTGCTACGCAAGGGGTGTCCCCTGCCATCGCCGGGGGCTGCTCCAGGCGCGAGGGCTCTGCAAGAACACGGCATGGGTGGTGGGCGCAGGCCCAGCGCTGTTGTCCCCACGTGTTGGATGGGGACACCTAGCACAGCTTGGGGACATTCCGGAGTAACGCACATGCCCCAAGCACAGGGATGGGGGACATGCTGGGGCTTCGGACCCCTGTCCTACAGCCACCAAACCTCCCACCTCGTTGTCATCTCTCCCACGTCCCCCAAGGCTCTCACCTTGCAGGCAGCTCATCTCCATCCCGTCCAGTTCCTCCTGCAACAGCTCAATTTTGCACTCCCTGCGCGGAAAGAAGGAAAACCAGAGCCCCATTGCCTTGGCAGCTGCTTCTACATCACCATCATGATGACAGCAGCCTCCTCGACACCCTCCTCTGGGCAGAAATAGGGCAGGGAGCTCGGAGGAGGTGTCCAAAAGCGGCAGGCAAGCCACCAAGATGGGTCCTGCCCCCTCCTGGGGACCAGCAGCCCACCCTGGGGACCTCTGCTAGATGGCAGCAGGATGGGACATCTAGGATGGGTGCCCAGCTTGGGTTCTAGCAGCTCCCAAGGGTGCCGCGTGTGTCCTTGTTCCCCCCCGCAACCATCTCCTACCTGTCTGGGGTGGAGGTGAGCTGGTGGTGGGGCTTCTCTTGGGGAAGGACCAGCCAGGCTCCCCCAGCACCGCGGCGGGCAGCCGCCACCAGCCACTGTCCTGCAGGGAGGAAAGAGGGTGGGAGAGGGCAAGAACCCCCTCAGCCCATCCCTGTAGCACCCTCAGGGTGGCGTGTCCCCAACCAGGTCCCCCCCAACACCCATCCCCACCTGCCACGGTGAAGACCAGGAGAACGGAGAGTGCTGGGATGCTGAGGGTGCTGGAGGTGAGGAAGAAGAGGAAGAGGAGCAGGATGGCATGAGGTGGCGTGAGCATCAGCAACGCAGCCAGCAACACCAAGTAGGAGCCGTGTAGGATGGAGGTGGAGATGGCACTTGGGCTCTGACCTGTTGGAATGGGGAGAAAGAGCCTGGCGTTGACACCCACCAGCACCCACCCGCCCACCAGCACCCACCCCTGACTCACCGGGTGGGTCGAGGACAGTATGGAGGTGCTGCAGATGGTTTTCCAGCTGGCTCCGTGCACCCTCCACAGCAGTCAACACCAACCCAAGGCTCTGGTTGACCTGCTGCAGCTTCTCCATCACCTCCTCCATCCGCTGCTGCTGGGCCAGGAGAAGGGTCAGGTCATTCCCTGCACGCGGAGAGATTGGATACGTCGGGATGAGCCGGGGAAGCTGCACCCAGGGTTGTCCCAGTGCAAAAAGAGCTGGGAATGGGGTTCTCCGCGTTCCCACCTAGTTGGGAATAGACATCCCGAGCTCCTTCCTGCGTGTGGTAGAGGTCGGACAGGACAACCCTTCCCAGAGCTCCGTGGCTCCACGGTTGCTCACTTTCCCAGTAAGGAGGCGCAAGAAGTTGGGTTGGTCCCCAAGGCGGGGGGGGAACAGGGAGGGGGGGGGGATGTAGCAGCATCCCAGCTGGTGGCTCTTACCCATCTGCTGGGCGATGTCCTCCATGAGCTGGGCCACCCGGTGCTGCTCGACGGCGGTGAGGGTCTCAGCCAGCACCAGTTGCTGAAGGTTGTGGCAGTCGCAGGTCTCCAGTTTCAGCCGCTTCCCCAGCTCCTCCTGGGGTGAATATTAGGATGGTGACCCCACAGCCCCCACCCCCACCTCAAACCATCACCCCACAGCGATGCCCACCACCACGGGGCACCCCCTCAGCATCCCCAAATGAGCCCCCCAGGGTTTAAACTCCATCCCGTGGCGCTGACGTGGAAAAGTTTGGAAAAGCCTTTGGAAACAAGCAAGGCTGGGGGGCAGGAAGGGGATTAGGAGTAGAAACCCCCATTTGCCATGAGGGAAATGTGCTAAACAGGGCTGGTTTTACCCCAAAATGAGGGTGAGGGGCTGAGCAGAGGTGGCTCGGGCTCTGCAGCTACAAAGTTTGGGATTTTGGCGAGGGGGGGGCGAAAATTGCATTGGATGACCGTAGGATTTGGGGGGAATTGGAGAAAACAGAATTTGGGGTGCCTCCCCCAGGCACCTTACCGTGTCGGGGGTGCAGGGGTATGTCTGGTGACCCTCAGCACTGGCCTGGCAGTTGAACAAGTTGGCTCCTTCCTCCTCTTCCTCCTCATCCTCCTTGCTCAGGTTGGCGCAGGATGAGCGGAGCCGCACCATGACCTGGCGGCAGCAGGGCTCAGCACCCATGGGTGCTCCCCGCCCCCAGGGGTGGGGGGGTACAGAGGGGTTGGTTTTGGGTGGGAAATAAGGAGAAAGGTCTGAGCCCACCCCAGCACTTGGCTTTCACACCCCACCCCCCAAACCATCACGTGCCAACACCCTGCAACAGGCAAAGCAGCTGCCCAGAGCGGGGGTTCTCCAGGACCCCCATTTCCCCCACTGTGGGGGGACCCCTGAGGCCACACCTGACGGTGACAGTCGTCCAGGGGTGACAGCGCCCAGCACGTGGCTTCAGCCTTGAACTGGTCATCAACACCCGTGGTCTTCTCAAAGGAGTCGTGGGGGGCAATCCCCACCTCCGGGAGGGTCCCCAAGGTTGGGGGGACCTCTGCTTCCTTTTGGGGGGTGCCAAGGTCCAGCCACCCCAAAAACGCAGCAGCAGCACAGATCAGCATAGCCCAGTAGCTCCGGGGCAGCATAATGGGGTGCAGTGGGGTGGGAGACCTGTGGGGAATGAAAGGGGAGGGGGGAAAGCACCCAGGGAGCAGCCCCCCAAGTGCAGGGAGAGGTTTGGGGGACACCCCCCACAGGAGGGACACAACCCCGTGGGGGGGTAACGCACACCCCCCCCCCCCCCCCCCAATAGACCCAGGGGCAGCATGGGACTGGGGAGGGCTGAGGACCGTGTCCCTCCGCCCCTTTCCCCACGGGTGAGTGGGTGCCCCCGCCCCTTTGCCCACGGTGGGGGAAGTGGGGGAAGTGGGTGCCCCCCCCCGCTCCCCCACGCGTGGAGCGGCTCCACCCCGGACGCAGCCACCGCCCCACACGTGGCGCCCGCGCACCTGCGCAGACACCCGCCCCTCGCCCAGGCCCCGCCCCTTATAGCTCGCCACCGCCAATGGAAGGGCAGGGGCGGGCAAAGAGCAGCCAATGGGCGTTCGGGAAGGGTCGGCGGCGCGGGGGGGGCGTGGTCACGGGGGGCGGGGCCTGGAGGGGGCGGGGCGTGACCGCCCGGCGCGATGGAGGCGGCGGAGCTGCGGGTCGGGTTCGTGGGCGCCGGGCGGATGGCGGGAGGCCTGGCCCGGGGCCTGCTGCGGGCAGGTACGGGCAAAGGGGGGGCGATCCGGGGGGGCCCGGCCCCACAGATCAGCGTGGGGACTGGGGACAGTCCTGCCCTGCCCCCCTTCCCCCCGGTCTCTGCCCTCCCCGCGGTCCCTGCCCCACAGATCAGTGTGGGGACGTGGGGACAGCCCTGTCCTGCCCCCCTCCCCAGGGTCCCTGCCCTCCCCGGGGTCACTGCCCCACAGATCAGCGTGGGGACCTGGGGACAGCCCTGTCCTGCCCCCCTCCCTGGGATCCCTGCCCTCCCTGGGGTCCCTACCCTCCCTCGGGTCCCTGCCCCACAGATCAGTGTGGGGACGTGGGGACAGCCCTGTCCTGCCCCCCTCCCCAGGGTCCCTGCTCTCCCCGGGGTCACTGCCCTACAGATCAGTGTGGGGACCCGGGGACAGCCCTGTCCTGCCCCCCTCCCCGGGTCACTGCCCCACAGATCAGTGTGGGGACCTGGGGACAGCCCTGTCCTTCCTCCCTCCCCCGGTTCCCTACCCTCCCCGGGGTCCCTACCCCACAGATCAGTGTGGGGACCTGGGGACAGCCCTGTCCTGCCCCCCTCCTCCGTGTCGCTACCCCACAGATAGTGGGGACACAGCCCTTATCCCTCCCCTCCCTGGCTGTCCCAGGTTGTCCCTGCCCCATAGCACAGTGTGGGGACAGCCCTGCCCACCCTCAGAAGCTGGGAGATAGATCCTGCTTTTAGGGTCACCTCCCTTGTCACTGCACCATGGCTTAACTGGGTGCCCACGGCCATCCCCGTGGGGTGCCCACGCCAGCCAGACTGGTGGGATCCGGCCTCGGCCCCCTTTTCTCCATGTCCCCCAGGCTGATCGTGCTGGGGTTGGAGGAGAGGAGCACTTCCCGGCTGATCCTGGGGTGCCCAGGCTGTGCTGGGGTGTCCCCACCACCCTGGGGCCACCCCGGCTGCTCACCCTGGTCCTTGTGTTCCCCAAGGGAAGGTGCCAGCCAGCAGCGTCCTGGCCAGCGCTCCCTCGGACAGAAACCTGGATGCGTGGCGGGTGAGTGGGGACGTGGGATGAGAAGCCACCCTGCTCGGTGGTGGGAGGCGTGTTGGGGTGCCCCTCGCCACGATTTCGGGACACCCTTTCCCCCCATGCAAGGCTTTGGCTCATCCTTCCCAGGGTTTGGGTGGAATTCAGGGAAAGCCTTGGTGGCTTTGTGGCTGGAACGGGTCCCCAAGTCATGTCCCTGCGTGAAAACGTGCCTTGCCCATGGGGGTGCTGGGGTTTTTTGGGGCGCCAAGCTGTGACACCTCTCCCTGCCGGCGGGCAGGAGTTGGGCTGCCGGACCACGCACTGTAACCTCGAGGTGCTGCAGGAGAGCACCCTGGTCTTCCTGGCCACCAAACCCCACGTCCTGCCAGGCGTCCTGCAGGAAATCCGTCCCGCCGTGGGACCCCACCACATCGTTGTCTCACTGACGGCCGGCGTCACCCTCCAGACACTGCAGCGGGTGAGCCTCCTCTTCCTCCTTCTGATCCTTCTTCCATTTGTACCCGGGCCCGTGGAGAAGGACACGCCGCTGTGGCTCTGTCCCCACCGAAGTTGCATCCCCGGCTCCTTCCCCGTGGTCCGCGCTTCTCCGCCAGCCCTGATGGGTGCTACCCACCGGTGTCCCAGGGCACCCTTGGGTGCTGCCCGGAGCTTGGCACCTCTCTCCCATCCCCGTTTCTCCCCAGCTTCTCCCCGCCGGGACCAAGGTGCTGCGGCTCATGCCCAACCTGCCGTGCGTGGTGCAGGCAGGGGCGATGGTCTTTGCCCGGGGCAGCAGTGCCGGTGATGGCGAAGCTGCCCTGCTGAAGAGCCTGCTGTCCTCCTGCGGGCTCTGCGAGGAGGTCCCCGAATCCTACATCAACATCCACACCGGCCTCAGCGGCAGCGGCGTGGCCTACGTAAGCACCCGTGCTTGGCGGGACACGGGACGCCGGCAGAAATCCCACCCGTGTGGGGTTGGGGTTTGGGGTCCCCTGCTTTTGCCACGCTTACACCCCCCCCCCCCCCCCTCAATGCTCTTCTCCCCCCAGGTCTACCTGTTTGCCGAAGCTCTGGCCGAGGGAGCGGTGAAGATGGGCATGCCGGGCGGCTTAGCCAGCAGGATCGCGGCTCAGACGCTGCTGGTGAGTCGGTGCTGTCACTTGGGGACATTGCTCCCTTCCCTCCTGCCCCACAGCTCCCACCGGGCTCGGGCGTGCCGTCACCATCGCTGCCCTGGGCTCTGCGGCACCCGACAGGGGTGGCAGCGCGAGGGAGGAGGTGCTGGATGGCCTCCTGCCTCAGTTTCCCCTCTTGGAACCGAAGATGGGGCCACCAGGAGAGAGCAGAGGGCGTGGCGGTGGGACACACCCGCAGGGGTGTGGGCGGTGGGAGGATGCTGCCATCCAACCCCTGGGCAAAGAGAAGGGAGGCTCGGGAGGTCCCCTTCTCTCTGACCCACCCCCCCCAAATTCCCGTAGGGTGCAGCGAAGATGATGCTGGAGACGGGGGAGCACCCGGCGAAGCTGCGAGGAGATGTCTGCACGCCCGGGGGCACCACCATCCACGCCCTGCACCAGCTGGAGAAGGGTGCGCTGCGGGCCACCGTCATGAACGCGGTGGAGGCGGCCACCAACCGGGCATGCGACGTGGCCGAGGACTAGTGGCCTGGCTGGGGATGAGCCCCTCCGTCCTGCCCCGGCATGGGGCAAGAGGGGCAATGGGGAACAGACCGAACTTCTCCAGGGACCCCCGATGCCCCCCCGTGAGACCCTGGCCGGGGGTGGGAGATGGTGTGGACCCACGTCCACGCCACGTGCTACCTCCGCAGGGCTGGGACCAAATAAACGTGGGCAGCACGATGGCAGGCTTGGTTTTTTTTAGTCCCTTCAGTCCTTGGGGGGGGGCTACTGCACCCAGCATGGGGTCACCTCCCCGGTGAGGTGACAGCCAGGGGGTCCCTGGATGGAGCTGCTGCCACGCTGGCGCTGTGCCGGGGGGGTGTGGCACTGGGGACAGGCATGAGGACAGGGGTTTTGGGGATGGGGTGATCCCAAGTCGAGCCTGCTGGGGCCGGGGCAGAGCGGCCGCATCCCTGCGGCAGGAGGCAAGGCCCATCGCAGGTGCCGTGAGGATGCCGAGGGATTTTGGGAAGTGGGGAGCTGGCAGGACGATGCTCTGAAGGGGGGGGGCGAGCGCAGAGCAAGGCTTCGATTTCTCAACTCGGTGCCGAGCAGGGGTTGCTCGTCGGCGCTTGGGTTACACGTAGGCACCGGTGCCTGCTCCTCTGCTCGGCTCTGGAGATGCGCGCGCGGACACGGAGCTGCTATCCGCATCCAAGGACCACGGGCAAAAAAAAAAAAAGTGAAGCAGTTGAAAAAACTCCACCTCCCACCCCGGCCAGGCATCGCCATCGCACCACGGTCCTGCAGACAGGTCCCTCTCTGGCAGCGAGGCGGCGGGATGAAAGCCCGGACCCGCTCTTGGGCCCCGCGGTGCTGCACATCAAGAGAGGAGAAACTCAAAGCTTGCCTATCCGGAGAGGATCTAAGCCTTTTGCGTGCCCTAATTAAGCTTCGTTTGCCTCCCGGCACCTGCACGAATGCAATTAGTGATGATTTGTGAACCGCTTTGAAGATGAAAAGCTTTTTCCGGGCGCGACGTTGCTTGTGGAACAGCTGGATGCTGAACCTTCGGCTCCTATGGCTTTGACCCCGTCCGCAGGGATGCCGTCACCCCAGGTGCTGGTGGCACAAGCCAAGAGAGATGCCGCAGCCCAGCAGCAGTGCCGGGTCCTGCCAAGGCATGACCTCCTTGAGCACTTTCTTGAGGCATCTAATTAATTAGCAAAGCTGCATAAAAGCCAGGGAAGGAGCTCGAGCCTGCTTGTCTCTCCTACCCATCTCTCCACTTCGCCATGTAGCCAGGGCAGGGGCTCATGGCACCTATATGGTGCGAGGAAGAAGCGGTTTTCAAAGTTTCCAAGCCACCTGGTAGCTCCTTTGTCCTTCTATCTTCTTTTATCCCTGCCTTGTCCTCAGGTCCCCCGCCCCAAGGCGATTCTGCCAATCTCTCCGAAATCCGCAGCCTTCTGATTTCGTTCTTGGGTGTCTCCATCTCTGTCCTCCACACCACTCTTTTAACATATTTGGCCAAAAAGCCTTGGCCAAATCCAGCCCCACCGCTTGTGACACGGCTGAGCGCAGCGCCTGCCCGTTCCCCATCTCCGTGTGTCCTCCTAAAGGCTTTTGAGCTTTGGGTTTTCAGGTTGTCTATCAGAGGAGTGGCACGTTCAACCCCAAAGCCAGGACGCTGATGACCTTCCAACATTTTGCTAAGCACTAGTTTTAACAAAACCAGCTTAAATTCCATTAATTTTATTTCAAAAGCCAGCACTCACTGCAGGTAAAGTGTTGCTACCTTACTGCTAGTACTCCTACCTTCAAGAGAGGCATCTCACCTGTAAGATCATGGAGCAGATCCTCCTGGAAGACGTGTCGAAACGAGGAAGGCAGGGAGGTGCCAACCTGGCTTCACCAAGGGCAAATTGTGCCTGACAAAGGTACATGGCCTTCTACGATGGAGTGACTGCACTGGTGGAGGAGCGAAGAGCTACAGATGTCATCTGCCTAGATTTCTGTAAGGCCTTCAATATGGTCCCATATAACATTCCTGCCGCTAAGTTGGAGAGGAATGGGTTTGATGGATGGACTGTTAGATGGATCAGGAATTGGCTGGATGGCCGCGTCCGAGGAGTTACAGTCAATGGTTCAATGTCCAAGTGGAAACCAGTAACAAATGCTGTCCCTCAAGGGTCCGTACTGCGACCAATACTATGAAATATCTTCATCGATGACATAGATGGTGGACACCAAGATGAGTGGCACAGTTGATTTATTTGAGGAGAGGGATGCCATCCAGGGGGACCCTGGAGGAGTGGGCCCAGGTGAACCTCATGAGGTTCTGCACCCGGGTTGGGGCAACCCCCAGCACCAGCACAGGCTGGGGGATAAGTGGATGGAGAGCAGCCCTGCGGAGAAGGACCTGGGGGGTGTTGGTGGATGAAAAATGGGACGGGAGCCGGCAATGTGCACTCACAGCCCAGAAAGCCAAGTGACTCCTGGGCTGCACCCCGAGCAGCGTGGCCGGCGGGTCCGGGGGGGGGGATTCTCCCCCTCTGCTCCGCTCTGGGGAGCCCCCCCGGAGCCCTGCAGCCAGCTCGGGGGTCCCCAGCACGGGCCAGACACGGACCTGTTGGAGAGGGGCCAGAGGAGGGACACGGAAATGGTCCGAGGGCTGGAGCAGCTCTGCTGTGGAGAAAGGCTGAGAGAGCTGGGGGGGTTCAGCCTGGGGAAGGGAAGGCTCCGGGGAGCCCTTCGAGCAGCCTCCCAGGGCTTAAAGGGGGGACAAGGAAGATGGGGAGGGACTTTTTACAAAGTCCTGTAGTGACAGGACAAGGGGCAAAGGTTCTAAACTGAAAGAAGTTAGGTTTAGATTGGACGTAAGAAGAAATTCTTTATGATGAGGGTGGTGAGACACTGGCCCAGGGTGCCCAGAGCAGCTGTGGCTGCCCCCTCCCTGGAAGGGTTCAAGGCCAGGTTGGACGGGGCTGGGAGCCCCCTGGTCTAGTTGTAGATGTCCCTGCCTGTGGTTGGGACTGGATGATCTCTGAAGGTCCCTTTCAATCCAAACCATCCAACGGTTGATTGTTGTCACCTCCCAAACCAGATCAAATGGCACTGCGAGTGCACCCAGGCTGACCTACGCGAAAAACAAAGACCTCCAGCCCAGAACCTTCTGCTGAGCTTGGCAAGATTTTTCTCAGACAACTGAAGACTCCTTTAATTCACAAACTACGGCTTGACGTGAGCCACATCCCAAGCCCTAAAATGTTTTTTGGTTTTGTTTTGTTTTGTTTTTTTGTAAGGCTTTTTTAAGTGCAAAAGATTATAAAAATAAATAGAAACGTGGATTTACGTGATCCCATTGGTGGATAAAAGTCTGCATTCAGGCACAGCAACATCATACTGTTAGGAAACCAAAGCGAAGGGAGAAGCATGAAATGAGCGGGACACCATGCAGAGTGCTGTCTGTGAATCTGGCAGCAGCCAAACAGCAGAAACTGAGGTTGGTTAGGTTTGTGGGGGAAAAAAAAAAAGTGTATTTCTCCCCTAAATCAAAGCTTTTCTTGACCTATATTCAATGTTCTACAGTGGAGTTCCATGATTTGAAAGGACAAACTTCAGATTGAAATTTGACTTTGTGTGTTGTTTTTTTTTTTTTTTTTCTTGCTGGTCCCTAAATTCCCTGGCAGAGTTGTTTATCGTACTAATGAAGTAAAAAACTCAATTTGGGGAGCAATTTGGGCGCCTGCCTGATCCTGCTGCGTTAAACTGGCTGCGGAGAGGTGGGGAACACGATGGAGGAGACCACACCGAGGACACAACCGCAAGGAGGTTCCCCTTTTGCCACCCTCCCCTCTGCTGGGATGGCTCCGCGTGACTCTTTACAGAACACAACCCCAAAGTGCGAATAAAAATCCATTTAATTTTCATAAACTCTGAAGTTATGAGACAAAGACCCGACAAGTAAAAACACCCACCCCGTCTGCTGACACGGGGCACAGCGGCACTGTTTTTTTTTTGTTTGTTTGTTTGTTTTTTCCTTTCCCCCCTTTCAATAATTTGGCTAAGCAGGCGAAAATTTAATCCAAATCAGGTCAAGAGCTGCTAAATTCATCTCTGATGCCTCCGGTATTTTAAGGCAGTGCTGGGAGCCCCCCCCCGACCCCGGCTCCTGTCTCAACTCGTGACGCGCATCACGCCGGCAGCTGCATTTTCCAGCCCCAGCCGCCCCGCCGGCACCTCAACCCTCATCCCCGGAGCCTTCGGCTTCGCGAGGATGCTCGGATGACGGTACCTGTTTCAGCAGGTCTCCGTAGCCTGGGCGTTCCCAGGTGCGGGGCTGTCACGGGAATGATGGAGGTGGCCCTCTCCGGGCAGCCGCGGTTTCTCAGATGCCACCCAAGTGTCCCCGTCCCAATCCAGTGCATGAAAAAAGTTGTCTTAAACCAGCCCCAAACCTCCCCGTTTTAACAGGACGCCGTTTCGGCAGGGGGAAGGGCGTCACCAGCCTCTTCCAGGGCGGGACGTTTGCTCCTCAGCACCCCAAGAGCGATCCCTGTCCAGCCAGATGCGCCCACCTCAGCCCTGCTCCGAGATGTGGGGAATTGGTGTCGCTTCCCCCCATCATCCCGGCTCCTCGCGGTGATGCCGAACAGGTCCCTCCCTCACCCCTCCTCCCCACGGGGTCGGGGGGGGAAACGGGTAGCGTGGGGGGCACCCACCCTCTTCTAGGGGTGCCAGTGACCAGGGGGCCACTCAGTCTCGTGGGATTTAAAAAAATAGCACCTCCTAAATATATTTAGGGTGAGGAACAACCCTCAAATCCGCAACATACGGAGGGGCTTGTCGCACCAAAAAAAAAAAAAAAAAAAAAAAAAACCAAAACAACCCCGTTAGCCCTAAATTGTATCCCCTGTCTTCGCCGTGGTAACCCGGAGGCGGTTGGGCCCCCTGCGCCCCAGGGGCTGCCCGTGACGGAAAGCTGAGGGGAGCTGGCACCTCCACCGCCAGCCTCGCTGGGAGAACTGGGGTGTCCCCAGCCCGAGCGGGGCGGTTGGTAGCCGAGAGGTCGCGGGTGGGCCTGCCCTAGGAGCCGGGGCTGCCGCCGCGGTGCAGCCGCTGGGCCATGCTGATGAGGGAGCGGAGCTGCACCAGCTTGAGCGGCCCCACTTGCCGGGGGTCCTGACCCTCCAGCCAGCGCAGCGCCGTCTCCAGACCTTTGATGGCTTCGCGAGCCGTGGGCAGCAAGGCGTCCCCTCCTTCCCCACCCCTTCTGCCACCTCCATCTCCGGCAGCTGCCTCCTCCTCCTCCTCCTCCTCCTCCTCCTCCTCCTCCTCCTCCTCCTCCATCCCGCAGCCTCCGGGGCCTCCCTCCTCAGCGTCCTCTTCCCCATCGTCCTCCTCCGTCCCTGGGGCCACGTCATCCAAGTGCAACCAGTCGGCCACCTCCTCGGGAGCCAACCGCTTGTAGGCCAAGGCGGCCAGGTGAGTCAGGTCGCTAAAGACTTTGCCGTCCCCGCCGCCTTCCTCCCCACGCGGGGGGTCTCCGTGCTCTTCCTCCCCGGGCTGGGGCTCGAAGGCGGCGCGCAGCCCCAGCAGCCAGCACTTTTCGATGGAGCCGGGGGGGATGAGGTCCCAGGAGAGGCCGGCCAGGTACAGCATGTCCTTGAGGAGGAAGGACCTCACAAAGTCCACGGGGCCACCCGAGCCGCTGCCGCCGGCCGCGCACGAGACGGCCAGGCGCAGCAGTTCCCGCTTGTAGAGCTGCTTGAAGGCGGACACCACCCCTTGCTCCAGTGGGGCCGGGATTCGGCCTCCCCCTCCAGCCGAACCGCTCCCGGCGGGGCCCTTGGAGAGGAAGAGGGCACGGATGGAGCCGTCGGGTGTCTGCAGTGGGGGGGACTCCTCGGAGCCCGTCCCAGAGACGGGTGGCGGGGAGCTGAGCAGCAGCACGGCCTTCTGCTGCAGGCAGCTGCGGCGCAGGTAGCGTTTGACGCCTGGCACGAAATCCTCAAAGAACCAAGAGCGGAGGAGAGCCGGCCCCAGCCTGGCCTCTGGGCTGTAGCGGTAGCAAGCGGGGAATTTGTCCTGGTTGTGATGGCGGAGGCTGGGGGGATCGCGGAGACCCCCGACCACCAGCGGCTTGAGCTTATGGGAGCCGGTCAAGTTGGCAGCCAGGAGCACGGTGACCCGCTCGCGGGGAGCAGGCCGCCGCCGCGCCGCCATCGCCCCACCGGTTTGCCCCGGCAGCAGCTTCCAGTAGAGCCCGGTGACGTTGGCGTTGTAGATCTGCTCGTCGCCGTAACCCCCAGCGTCGGCAGCCGGCACGGGGAGAACCTCCGGGCAGGCGGCGGGAGCCCGCTCGGGCTCGGCGGGGAGGCCGCCCTCGCCGTAGATCCGTTGACTGGAGATGCCGTGGCGCTTCTGCCAGCGCCAAAACCAACCGTGGCTGGCTTTGAAGGTACACTCGGGACCGTAGATCTGCCGGGCGAAAGCCTCAGCTTGGGCTTGGATGAGGGGCCCGGAGAGGGGGACGCCGTGCTGGCGGAGGGCGAGGAACCAGGCGTAGACGGCGCGGTCGATCTCCTCCTCGTTGGCCAAGCGCATCTTCTTGCGTTGGGTGCCCACCTCACCCCCCAGCTGCTCCAGGAACCACCGCAGCTTGGCTTCGTCCTTCAGCCAGCCCCTCAGCGTCCCTCCCGGCACCCCGAAAGCCCGGCACACCGACGCCTGGCGCTCGCCCTTCTTCACCCGCTCGATGGCCTGCAGCTTGTCCTTGATGGAGTAGGCTCGTCGCAGCGCCATCTTCATCGACATCCCCCCGGCGGCGCTGCCACCGCCCCGCCGCCCTCCCGCCATACCGGCCGGCCCCCCACCCGCCTCCGGCTCCCCCCCGGGCATGGAGCCGCCCCCGCAGCCATGAGCCGGCGCGGTACCGAGAAGAAGAAAAGGGGGGGGGGGGGGGGGGGGGCGCGCGTTATAACCGGGGAGTTAGGGGGAGGTGGGGGGGGGGGGGGGCGCGGTGCCTTTGTCTCCGCTCCGGCCCCGAGCCGGCCGGTGGGGCGGGGCGGAGCGCAGCGCGCATGCGCGCCCCCCCTCCCTCCATAGTTGCGCCGCTCCTCCCCCCCCCTCCTTCTTGCCCGCTTGGTTTCTTCCCCGCAGCTCCGCCACCGCCTCTGGGTTGTACCACTCAGCGAGAGGGGGGGGGGGGAGCGCCTCCTCGTTCCCCCTCTCCTTCTTGCTTCCCGCCCTTCCCGGCTGTTCCACCGTGGGTCTGAGAAAGGGGGAGGGGGTCGGCGCCTGTGAGTGCGGAGCGTTGTCTCCCTCCCAGCAGCCGGTTTTCCTCCCCCGCCCCCCCCCCCCTCCCGCGCGTGGTCCGTGCTGCCCCCACAACCCCCCGCGCACCGCCCGCTGCGTCCCTTTGCCTTGTGGAGGCCGTGGCGAGCGGAGCCGCCCGTGGGCTGCCCAGGCCCAGCGCTGCCGGTGAGTGCAGCCTCCCCTCCTCTTCACCCGCTCCGTGGGCTTTTTCCACATCCCCCTTGCTAATGGGGGATTCTAGGATCCTTTATTCCTTCTGCAGCTGCGCGTGTGTATGTGTGCGGGTGGTGGTGTGGGAGCCCCTCATGATCTGTGGGGTTCTTTCCTTCTCGGGGGCCGGGAGAAGGGATTGTGGGGGCTCCCGACCATCCGTGGGGTCCCTTTCTCCTCTCACAGTCCGCGGGAAGGAGGTTGTGATCACCCCCGTGTTATCTGTGGGGTCTTTTCCAGCTTCTGGGCCAAGCAAAGGGGGGTTTGGGGGGATTCCTCGCTGCGGGTGAAGCCGCCTCCCTCGCCGTGGTGGGAAGGGGGGGGAAGTTGTGGGGGATCCTCGCTTTATGTGGGAGTCTCTTCCCCATTATAGTTTTCAGGGAGGAGAGGTCGTGGGGTTTCACCATCGTCTGTGTGGTCCCTTCCTCTTCATGGCCTCGGGAATGGAGGTGATTTCCCCCCCCATTATCTCTGGGATCCTTTCCCCTCCAGAGTCCTGAGGGAGAGGGCTTAAGGTGCCCTTGCTCTTTAAGATTATTTTTCCCCGCTCAAAGGACTCAGGGATTAGTGGGGTGGCACGCCCCCCACAATCTTTTAGGTCCTTTTCACCTTAATATAGGTCTTGGAAGGGGGGTTGTGGGAGGCCCCATCGTTCCCCATGGGGTCACTTCTCCCTTCACACCCCAAGAAGAGAGGATGTGGGGGGCCCCTTGTTACCTGGGAAAGCTCTTTTCCCCTCCCAGGTCTAGGGAAGGGGGCTCGTAGGCTTCTCCCATCTCTGTGAGGTGGTTGCTCTAAGTAGCTGGTTGCAAGAGTACCCCGTTACGGGTGTAAAGGCTGGGTGCTAGAGGTCTCCCTAAACCTGTCCACTTTTTGGGAGGAAGATGTGCTACTTCTCTTTTGAGTTGCTGGTTGTGGGGATAGCCCTGCTACATGGAGCCTCACCCCTTCCAGTCTCGGGGTCAGTGTGATTTCTGCCCTGGTGGAGAGGAGAGTTTAGGGCACCCCCCTGTCCCCAGCAGCTCTGAGTTCCTTGGAGGTCTGCACTTTTCCCCATTCCTTACCTTGGCAAAGGTTTCTTGTTGAGTCACCTGCGGAGGGAAACTGGAGCTGCTGCCCTGTCCTGGCACAGAGCAGCTGGCAGCTTTGTGTAACTGAAGCAGCAGCCTGATCCAGCCCATGGCCCAGCACCCTTAGCTGCCTCTCCCAGCTTGCTGTGGAGCTGGGAGCCCTTTATTGTCAGATTTCCCCACCTTGTCCTGCCCTTGCTCTGTAGGTGCATCTGGGTTCTGCTCATCTCCCCTCTCCATCCTGGTGTGCCCAACCCTTCTAGAACCTTGGTGGTGCCTCCGACAGCTCGTCCTGCTCTTTCTCCTTTTCCTTTTTGTTTCAGCAACAGCTCAGTCAGGAGGTATCCGTTTCAAAACTGTATCTGGGGAATGGACAGAGCTGGGGAGGAGTGGTTGTGCGGAGGCTGCTAACGTGCTCTCTGGGGGTTTGTGAAGGATTACAGCGGTAGCTAAAGTTGCTGAGGCTGCTACGGTCTGTCATTCCTCCCCTCCTGGTGTTTGCTGAAATCAATATGGAATTGTTCTTTCATGTCCGGCTCACTGGTGTTTTGGAATTGATTGTAATCCGATGTTCACAGTCCAGTTGTGCTCCCTATGGAGGAGAAAATAACTTTGCTTGGCCGTATAGCTGTAATTCTTTCCTCTCCTTTTCTAGGTGTGCCCTCTTTCTCCCTGACCTTGCAGGTATGCCTTTTTTCTCTTCACCCAAGCTGTTTATTTTCAACTACTTTGCTTTTGCTCGTGAAGCTGACTTCCCATCTTTCCCTACTGCTGATTTCCCATGTCCTTGCTTATCTCTTGCTTGGAGCGAAGAGTCGTGTTTTTAGGTGATGAAGGTTGGGAGTCGTTGTCGTTTCCCTGGCTAAAGGTTAGTGTGCAGCTTTGTGTTATAGCAAAGGTGATGAAGGCAGTCCCTCAGCCCACTGTCTCCTGCTGCTTTGAGCCACCGTCTCTGCTGCTGGTGAGTCGGGGGAGAGCAAATTTAGGGAGTGAAACCAGCAGAAGAGCAATACTGCACAAGCGTTCCTATTTTCTTTTGCTTTAGCTGCCTGCATTGACTCAGTGCCAGTGCTGAGGAGGGAGTGGATTTGCTCCCTTCAGCTACAAGAGGCCATCAGACCCTTTGGTGTGAAACCAGTCTCGGTTCTTTTAACTCTGAATCACCAAAAAGAAAAAAGCAGGAGGTGGGGCAAGGTTGATACTTGCCTTTCCTTTGCTGTTGAGCAGGTAGGTACGAGGCAGCTGTGTCTAACCGGTGCCTAAATAAATTCTTAGCTGCAATGGCTCGTACTGCAGCAGTAGCAGTTTTGGGAAGAGGAAAAGCATTTCACTAGGACGGCGTGGGCAGTGCAGATGTCTTGAGCGTGGCAAAGCTCAGGTGTCGGTCTGAGGCTGTAGAAAGGAACAGGCTGGTGCCTGTGGACCTTCTCTTCTCTCTGCTCTGTCTCTGACATCAAATGGGCCCTTTCTGGATTTTCTGGAATTTATTTTTCCAGCTGCTGTTGGGATGAATGTTCAGGAGCTTCTGGTGGGGAGGGTGGTGTGACATGTGATAGGACAAGAGCACTAAATTTATAACCATGTTGGCCTGGTCGGAATCAGCTGTGCCAAGGCACGTAAGCAAATACGCAGATGGAGGATTGGGATAGAATCTCCTGTAGTGAGAACCTGTCAGTGCTGGGCTGGGGGAAGAGCGGCTGGTGTTGGCTTGGTTGCTGCTGGAACCTGCAGAAATCAGGATTTTCCTGCCTAACCTTTGTGGCTAAGTCCATGGGGGTTGTTTTGGGGGTGAAAGCACAGCGAGCTGCCCTGTGTCTCCATCATCCTGTGTCCCCAGGTGCCACCTGATGCCTGTTTTGATGCCATTTCTGAAGAAGGGAGTTGAACTGCAACTGTAATCTTGCACTCTTGGTTATGGCTTGCAGAAAACAGCTGTCACATCCCTCCAGAAATCAGTGACAGATAAGATTTGCTGCTCTTGCTCATCTAAAGATATTTTTCCAAGGCTACTGGAAATATTTTAAGCCGCATCAAACTGTTATTTCTGGGAGAGCTGCTTTCAAATCATGGTGCTGCCTGACTTGCTGTGCCTTGTTGGGAGCTGACAGATCAGCCTGGCACACAGCTGAGATTAAAATTGCAGTTCAGTTCCAGTACAAGAAACTGTGCAAGGCAAGATAGAATTTACATTTCTGGGAGGCTGACACAAACACATTGATAACCTGACTGCCTCCAAAACCCCACATTTATAGGCCTCTCAATTCAGAAGGAATGTAACTTTCTCATGGATAGAAGAGAAAGTGTGGCTTTCATTAAACCAATAAATGGAGTGGATTTAACTTTCTTTTTTTGGCTATAGCCTTAGAGTAATGTCTTGTACGTTTTTGTTTTGCTGACTTTTTAGAAAGTAGCTAGACTTAAGGGGATAATGCAGCCCAATAGCTGAAGTCCAAAGCCTATTTTGGATTTACAGAACAACAATAGAGACCTTTTCATTGCCTATTTTTAACTTTATGCGTTTCCCTGCAGCGCTGGAAGTACAGCACAGATTTGTTCTGGCTTGAAATACCCAGGATGTGGTGACAAGACAACAGCAAGCCCCAAGCTCTGAAGCCGTAGCTATGATTAAAAATTCTTTCAGGTTTTTGTAAGCCCTCTTTAACGATGTGTGGGAGGCCTAAACATTGACCTGTGATGTTTTTTGTTACTTGGGAGTATTTGATAATTTGGCACAATAATGATTCATAACAACATTTGCCTTTCTGGTGGTTTCATGCCTTGTAAAACACCCAATAGATTGTCTGCACTGTCACTGGAAAAGCAAAATTGTCCTGGGTAGAGAGGAGCCAGTCTCTGGTGTATGCATTTTCCTACATTTCTTACATTTTTCTACTCCACTCACGGATTAGTGTTTTCTTAAACACTTTGTAAAAAGTTTACTGCCTCTGTCTCAAAGTATTAATTTATCTCCGTGCTAAAAAAACGCTCGTTAAAGGAAAAACTGCCTGACTTCTGAAAAATGATACTATGCAGCAGATGAATGTGGTCTTAGGAGTGGTTTGAGGGGGAGACATAACTGTTCATGCTTCCTGGCTTCTCTTTAAGTGCAGACTGATGGTTCTCTAATTCAGCTCTACTTTCTGTGCTCTGATTTTTGCCAGTGGTGTGTGTTTATATAAAACTATAGCATATTCTTTTAATTGTGAAACTTTGAGGAGGTGAAATGGGCAGGTGGGAATACCAGGTGGGAAGCATTGAAATGATGGCACAGACTGTGGTTTGATGCGGTGCTAAAGCTTAACCTGACTGTGAGCAGTGTGATGTGGTGCAGGCTCTTAAGAAGTCCAAGTCAATTTAAATTTCTTCCAGAACCTCTGAAGAGGTGAATTTGCCCCCGCAGACTTTGTCAGATCAAGTATACTCCCTTCACTCGTCGTATGGTGATTTAGCAGACTTGATTGAAGTAGGATTGTGAGTTCTTGTCTTGTCTGCAATAAATTTGTATGCTGGGAGAACTGGTAGTGCTCTGGTCTGGTATCAATGGTCTGCAGCTCATCTTATCAGGCTGGCTGCAGCAGCTCAGGTGATGGTTTGTGTAATTAAAATCCTCATATATGTTTTATCCCAGGAACCTCTGGGAAAACTTACGACCACAGAGTAGAAATGACTTTTTTTTTTTATTTTTTCCTCAACTTTTGCTTGTGTTTGTAAACTTTACTTCATTGAGCATCTGGTCTTTATCATAACTAAACCTAAGGTTTAGCCCCTCATGGAAACAAATAGGTGTTGCAAGTATCTTGGACTCATTTTTGGAAAATGGTATTGCCACTTGTAAAGTCCCTTGACAAACATTTTCCCTGATAATAATCTTTGTAAAAACACTTGATTTCCTGTGAGGCGGATTTGATGGGGAACATTTGTGGTCACTTTGGCTTGGGGATTTGTGGTTTTTTGCAGAAATACCCTTTTTAGACTTAATGTTGAATTGGTGACATGAGAAGCTGTGTCTCCTCAGGCTTTGTAGGTGTAGCCTCATAGGTACATCTCTGTGTAAGTCTTAAATTCTACTGTAAGCTTTCACATGTTGTGTTGATCCTTTTCCTGAAAAATTAGTAGGCTGAGTGCTGGTGCTAGCGTTTTATTTCGATCTCATTCATAGAATGTCGTACAGATTGCCAGCTTCTGGTAGAAATAGCTACAATCATGTGAATTCATTATTTGACATTATAATTGTTACAATTTCAGGGTTGTTAAAAAGTATTTGCTCTTGGTGTTTAGTTATCTGAAACTGGAGGACCTGAGCTTCGCTTTTGCACCAGCTGACAGTATTGGTAGGGCAGGTTGGGAGTTTCTCTGGCTGGTTCCCTGTCATGATGGGTGGATCCTGTTGGATCTGTACGTTTTCATTGCTTGTTATTGAAAAGTAACTGAGTGTCTGTGGTGTTGGTTCATGAAGATAATGTAGTTCTGGAGAGTAAACCTGCAGTAAGTTTAATTAAATGTATTATGTATGGGGGAAGTTAACTATACGATAATATATTTGGCTTTTGTCATTCTGTGTCCTTGCTGCATCTCTAGAACTTGAAACTTTCTCTAACTTTATCTTTTTCTTAATGCTATCATAGGAGCTAAAAAAGTAAGTACTTCTAGTTGTCATATGTTTTTTTGCACTTTCTGGAAAATCAGGGGAATATAGGCACTGATCTGATACTTACTAGACAGATGATTGCACAGTTTTCTGATTTCCACTGAAAATAAGTGTATTTTTACAGGTTTGTTTATTAAATTCAGCTCTGCCTCACTGATTCAAGACAGTCCTTCGATTTGAGAGAACCTAATGATAATTGAAGTCCTCAGTAAGGCACCTCACCTTTAAGATGAGCGTCATGGGGGCTGCAGCTCCAGTGATTGAAGCTGTTCGCTTAAGGCCTTGAGCAAAATCACTTAAAGAAAACAAACCACAAACCACACAAAAAATCAAACAACCAACCCCAAAACAAACAAACAAAAACCCCTTCAAATTTTGGTTTTGTTTTTCTCAAATGGTCATGCTCTTTCTGTAGGAAAAGCTAATGGCTGTAATGCAAATTAAATATTTAAAGGTGTGACAGTTTGTGCTGTATTGAGTCACGTCTGGGTTTCTCTTTACACCCACTAGAGGTTCTTCCTGAAATAGTTTTAAGTTGTAACCTCTGAGTAGAACACCTGCATTGGGTTAATGAAGTATTCTCAATAAAGTATCTTCTTGAAGGCTATAAGTATGATTTTTTTTTTTTTTTCCCCTATGATAACTCAAATGAATATGAATGTAGAGCCAAGCAGAACATACCAGGCAAATGCAGAAATCCGAGGTTGTGTTTAGGAGTCCTTATCGACCTAAGAAACCTAAAAATTCAAACATATTGTCCTTCCTGTGCGGTTTCAGTTGTACATTTTGCTTTTCCCATGGATTTTGTGCTGACAGGTTGCTACACTAGATCTGGATGGCTGCTAGTTTAGAATGTGTGCACTGAAAAGCAGGGCCTTTGTGCACAACGCTTCTAATTTGCGTTGTTTAAGCCTTTTCCAGTCTGCCAAGTGACTGAAATCCAGGTATCACTCTAGCAGAGTTGCCTCCTTTTGATGTTACCCTCCAAGAATCCCATTTAAACTGACATCTCCTGGTAAAGATTATTTTTTTAAGGGGGATGCTGTTTGCTACTGAAGAATATAAAAATATTTAAAATTATTTGTCCACCAGCTGAGATGATCAGGAATATGAAGCTGCCTCAGAGATGATTTTTTTTTACAGCAGGAACGTGTACCTCAGAATAACTTGTGCAGACTCTTCAGTGGCACTGGCCTGCCTTCTGTACGCGTAATGTACATGATGTCATTTTTCACTGCTTGAGGAGAATGCTGTGGAAGCAGTCGTAGCAGAGCTTATCCTGATGAGCAAACCTGAGTTACTGCTTGCTCGTAGCATTGCTCCCACCTTGCAGTGCCTGTGCTTCAGACCGGGGTGTTTTTGGAGTTGATATTAACAAATACATTAATGTTTATTCAAAGCACTGGTTTGTTTCTAGTTGTCTGTCCTAAGTAGTGTTTTATTGCTCCATAACTGGTGTAAAATACAGGAGAATAGTGTAAAATAATGACTTCAAAATAAGTTTCAATTTAGATATTTTTAAGTGGTTTTAGCTGCATCACAGTGTTTTCAGCAGCTGGTGAAAGACCAGTTTCACAACTCCAGTAAGAAAAAGAAAGATCTACGTTTGCTTTTCCTAGCAATTTTTATAATTGAAATATCGTATTACATTAATACTTTAAACTATATAAATTTGAATTGAAAGTTTAAAAAGGCAAAAAAAAAAAAATACTTGCAATAATGGTTTATTGTTTTTACTGGTCTGTCAAGCACTGGACTTAAGGCTTGTAAAATCTTCCAGGAACTGTTGGAACTGCAAGCCATCGACTGAAGTCTGGATGGTATTTCAGCTGTATGTGAATTTTATTTGGCAATGTGTCACAGATAAATTTGTAGCTGTAAAACTTGCTGCTGTTGGTAGCTAAAGAGAGAGCTGGCTTACAGGTATTTCATTTTCAACCCTTTTTTTTTTTTTTTTTTTAACTCTAGGGATCTGACCATGTAGTGTTTGGCAGAGAGGTAGTTATGTACTCACTAGATATTTGAGCAGTACAGTAAATTCTGTGCTTGGAAAGGTGTTTCCTATACGTCTTCCAATAGTCTACACATACTAGGAGCTGCTTGTTTTTCTTTTTCCTGTAGTAAAGTGTGCCTAGGGCAGGAAAACACGAAGCAGATGCAATATTTTTCATTTTAATAGATCTTTTTGGCAAGCTAAATTAGTCGTGAGATCTCCGACTCTTGGTCAACTTTAATTTGCCAGTAACTGGGCTTTTACACCAAAGAGAGACATATTTTTTTCAGTCAGCTCCCTCTGCCGGCTTCCTAGGAGCAAAACACAAGTAGGTGTAAGCAGTGACCTCTAAAGATACTCAAGGATTGCGGCATCCTAGTCTGTCTTCCCAAAACAGTGCTTAGTTGAGAATACTTAACAAGTACTTAAGGACTGGTCTATTAACTTGGAATAATACCTGATACATTACCAGGGATTTGAACAAAACCTCATTGTTTTTTTCCCCGCCAGTTGTTTTCAGAAGTGAAATTTGAAGTGCTTCCAGCCAGTGCCTTTATTCTTAAATAGTCATGTGCAGAATACTTGTCAGAACAGCAGAAGCATTTTAGGAGGAAGGTTATTCTGACTAAAGGAACTGGATGAGTTTAGGCAGTTTATTTTCTTTGAGATAAAATTTGTAACAAAGGAAAAATGGAACTAAATGCTTAGGCTCTTTACTATGATTAATAATGGCATGATAGAAGAGTGTCGAAAGCTATTACTTAAGAAATTACTGAAGTCTGATGCATGCCCTTGCTTTATTTAGTTTTGCTGCAACTACATTGTTGTGCTTATCTTTTAATGCTGCCACTCTTTGGAAGATGAGGACAAGGAAGCCTCCCTGCCCAGTAGAAAAAGTGTGGGTAGACAAGCACAAATATGATGAAGCAGAGAGACTGCATTACGAAAGAGAAGCGATGCTGGCTGCTGCGGCCCCGGAGGAGTGCCAGGAGGTAGAGGCTGTAAACGGAGTCTGCAACGATGACTCTGTTGAAAGTGAGTTCAAGGGAGACCTGAAGAGAGCAAGGAATGGAAAGAAGCAGAGGAAACGGAAGCGTTCTCCGAAACCCAAAAACGCGGCCGCCAAGTTAGACTCTATTCTGGCTGGTTTGGTATCTGACCATGTGTGGTTTGACAAGCCCCTCTATGATCACGCTGAGAATGTGTACAGGAAAAGAATGGTGGATTGTCAGAACCAGGAGGCACCCGAGGCTCCACTAACTGCTGAGCAATCCCCCCCTTTAGCAGCCAGGTCAAAAGCTGTCCAAGATGTCCCCAAGCCAAGGATGCTTTCAGCAGCCCTGTCCTGCTCCCATGGTAGTCTGTCCGCCTGTCACCACGTTGTTCAGGGCGTCTGGGTCAACAAGCTTGACTTTGATAAGGCCGAGGAGGTGTTTATTGAAAAATCTCAGTTCTTTGTTCCTCCAAATGTCCTAGCCATCCCGTCTGTGCGGTCAAGTGCTGGCAACGTGGGGCTGAGGACGCCGGATGAGGGCTACGTTACAGCCCTGCCTACTCCTGCTACGCCAAGCTTAGCTCCAGATGTCGTCGCTGATTCCGCTGCTTCCCTTGTTACCGGTTTGCTTGGCTCCGTACACCAGACAGTAAACGGTAAGCCGCAGATTTCAAGCTTGCAGGCTCTCATGTCGGAGGTGTGGTTAGAGAAACCCCTTTATGATGATGCCGAGAAGAGCTTCTACGAGAACATGTTTGACGGCCATCCGTCGGGTAAAGTCAGACAGCAGCAACGCGGCGGCCCCGGAGCGTTGAAGACCCACCGTGCTGGGAAGCAAACGGCTGTCAGACACACGGAGATGGCCACCGACTCTCCGCTTCCCAGCGACGCTGAGCAACCTCCGCCTACCTGCTTTTTTCTGCATGAGGACAGTGAAACTGTGTGGCTTCATAAGCCAACGTACGACAGTGCTGAGTCACGATACTACGCAGCCGAGGCTCTGAAAATGTCAGGAACGGGAGAGAGCACGGGGATGCAGGAACCCGCAGTAGTAGAACCCTCCCAACCAGCTGCTTATCCTCCGAGCGTACCTGCGCCAGAAACGAAGTAGGAGAAGTTTATTCTGGGGTAACACTCGCACGTGCAAAACTGCTGGGTCAGGATTGAGCTGAAAGAATTTGCATGTATAAGAAGATGGGAGTTCTTTGTGTCTGCAGGCTGAGCGCTGTTGTAGGGAGGTGCTGCTCCTGAGCCAGAGAACCTGTTTGTGGGGGGGGGTAACTGGGGGGAAACTCCTTCAAGGAACCCCCCTTCTGGTGAATGCTGGTGGCTAAAGGTGGTATTTGTGTGGTGCCAAGGGTTAAGGGTTTCAAATTAGGGTTGGGAAGTGAGCTAAGGTTTGACCCCCCCTCTTCACATGGGGGAAGCCCGGAGCCGTGCCTCTTTTTGTATCCCTATTGCAAACAAAAAGCCATAAAAGTGAGAACTTGGGAGGGAGCAATCCCGCGTTTTAAACAGGCCTGCTGAGATGGCAGAGCATGCAGTGTTACTGTCTTTGAGTTTGAGAAATTAAAGCAGTGCTTATTTGTTGTGTGTTTCTGTTAAAGTGCCGGAAGGGCCTTCAGAGAAGCGGTTATCCCCAATTCTCTGGCAGAGCACGTAAGCTGGTCGCTGAGCTCTGGGCAAGGCATGACTGCATTTGAGCATCGCATCCAGCTTGACGAAGGCTTGGGGACGACCGCGAAGTGTAATTTAGGGCACCAGTCTGGCACGTGCTGTGTTCGCTCCATTGCGGGAGAAAGTTGCCTTTCTGATTTCTTAGACCGTTTGGTCTGGAAGCTGCTGTTAATTTGGGGACAAGACTGGCTGGATGACAGCTTGTTTGATGTGCTTGTATGTAGCTGGGCTGGGCAGGAGGAGTTCATTTTTAAAGTCCTGAATGAGGTGCAGTATCATACCATGCTTGCTGTGTTACATATGTGCTTTTATATATGACTGGCTGAACCCTGAAGCGTTGCACGGGGGCTCTAACGCCCTGGGAGCCTGTCCAAAGGCCAGTGCTTAAATGTTATTTTGCAATGCTAAAGTAGAGACTGATGTTCTTGGAGAAAAGGCTCTTGGAGCATCCAGCCTTATTTCTGTCGCTTCTGATCCTTGGAATCTGTTAGGATTTTATTGTAAAGGTTTTAAGATCTTCACAACAAGTGGTATAGGGGATTACAGACAAGTTTTAGAGCGCATATGCCTTGCATGCACCCTGTCCTGTTTGGGATAATTTTCTCTTTAGTTGGACAGAACTAGATACTTGGTCGTGCCTTTCACCCTTCCCCAGGAAAGTCCATGTGTCCTTGTAAAATACGTGGCATCAGTTTGTCTGTAACTGGGATTCTCTTTTAATAGTACTGGTTGGCAGCTCAAGCAGGGTCTTGGTTGGAGGTTGGAGCGCTGGGAATGGCTTCAGTGTAGAGGACCTGTATGGTGTGGTGGCCTCTGGTCTCTTCTGAACGGGTAGATGAGAAGAGTGCTTGTTTTACAAAAGATTCATCTGTTGGCTTCCGTGGAAGTGTTTTACTGGAGAGCTGGGGGGGGGTTGAGCTGATAAGAAAAGGGTTTGTGGGTTGCTATTAGTTGCTCTCCCCGCGTTGTGTGGTGGAACCTGGTGATGGTGTGGTTTCGTTGCGACGTTCTAGCCCTGCTTTCACCACTCCTCAAATTGATGCTGGTTCTGTAGCTGTCCCCTGGCTTGAAATACGGGCGCATCCTCTTATCTTCAAGTTACAAAATGAAACAACTTTTGGAAGCTGCTGCACTGGGGAAAAATAACACCATTTCACAGCAGCGTTAGGGTGTTTTCTGCTGTTCCTCTGTGTAGTGGTAGGTGTCTGTCCCTTACAAGTCTTGCATTGCTGATGATTTTAATTTCCAAACAGTTGCAGCAGCTTCCAGAAGGGCACGTCTGTGGTGCCATTGTAAATCGTGTGTGTATCTGGATTCCTGGAGGCTGGTTGCTGTCAGACAGGATGCTGTGCCGGGCTGTTCCTTACAGGAGGATTCAGGGGTGCACCTCCTGAAGTGTGGCACGACCAGGTCTCTAGCCTAAGACAGTTGTGTTCAAGGAAGGCTGAAAGGCGTTGAAATTTGTGAGCTGTAATGTCAGGAGTTGCCTGTCACACACAGAGCGCTCCCTCGTTGGCACGCTGTAGTGTGGCATGTCCTGCTTGGAGTTGTGTATTCTTCAGTCTTTGGTTTCCCCATGGCCAGGCATCCTAAGAATTAAAAGCATTCTCCCTTTTCGATTCTCGTACACAAGGTATTTTAGCAGCAGATTACCACGTGTCTAGCATGATCTAGAAAATCCTGCTCTGAAAGCTTTTTTTGTGGAAGAAGGTACAGATCAGCTGATTTTATTCTGTCCCCACTCAGTGTTCTGCCACTAAATGCAGGTCAGGCCAGGCAGATGGGTGGGTGATTAGGCTGCCCTGTTTTCTTAATAGGATCCTGTTTACTTAAAGCTTTCCACCCGAGGGGAAACTGCCAAGCAGAGAGCTGCTGGCACAGCTCTCTGGGGGAAGAAAATGCTCTTTTGACAAGCTCGTTGCAAGCCGCTAACCTTAAGTCCTTTTAGGAACTCACTTTGGGTTTGTTTGCTTTCCTTTCTGCAGAAAAATGGCAGTTGACTACTTTCTCCATGACAAGGTCTGGTTTGAGAAATACAAGTATGATGATGCTGAGAGAAGATACTACGAGCAGATGAACGGGCCTGTGGGCAGCTCTTCACACCAGCAGGTAATACTTGTTCTCAGATGGGATTTAGCAGAGTGTCCGTGCTTTAAGAGCTAGTACAGAGCAGGGAAAAGGACACAATCCACCTGGATGTGCGCTTTTGTATTATTTCCACTCTTGGTGCTGCTTTTTCCAAGCGTGAGTGTCTTCTCTGGGGCTCCCTAAGCCTACCCCCAGTTCATGACCCCTTTTGAGAGACCATCTTCTGTGGCCTGGGAAGAATTTCTCCCATATAACCAGCATACTGGGAGATGAAATACCCTCGTAACACCAGGCAAACCGGTTACAGGTTGCAGCAGTTAATCTTTTCAGGCTGCTGTGGCAGGGCATGGATGCTATCTGTCATCTACCAGGGGCACACTTTGAGCTGTCATCCCCGAGAGCTGCGATTCTCTTGACTGGGCTGGGCGGTATGCTGTGCAAAGAATTGCCCTGTCCCCATTTCAACCAGGGAAGATGCTGTTTTGCTGTCATTTTGGAGCAGCTAAGCTTTCCTTGGCAAGAGATATATTGGGTATATATGACATAATGTTTGAAGAGAGGGCACCATGGCTCCAAAGAGACCAAGGAACTGTTCCCCTCTTTGTACCCCTTGAAATATTCAGTGTGCTCCTGCAGAAGACTGCATCCCAGTACTGGTGAGTTGTGGGGAGGAGGTGGAGGGGGGAAGCATGGTGCTGCTGCAGCACACCTGAGCTGAAGTTGTTCAAGCTTTTAGATATTACCCCAAAGTTACTACTATTTAAAGGTACAGAGCCATTGTAACCTCTTCCTGCCATGTAAAGAGCCGTTAACTGCTTATGCATTTGGTTGGTCCTGTAGAAAGCTGCTTGGTTTTAAATGGCTGTCTTGCAAGTGTTTAAGGGGAAGCTTTTTGCTTAAGGAATAGCTTCTAGGCATGCTCTGTCTGTTCCTGCTGCCCGTGCTAGAATAGTGATGGCACAGCACCTAGGACATGTGCATAAAAATTAGGAGCTGTAGATAAGCGCTTGAAGTAGGTGTAAAAGTGCAAACCTCTGCAGTGCTCTTAAAAGAACAGTTAGACTATTTCATGCCACATAAGGAGCTTCCAGGGAAGAAGTTCTGCCTTTGAGAGGTGGTGTGAAGGCTCTGGGGGAGTTTCTGCAGCAGGTTAGCAGCCACTTCGCTGCTAAGGATAAAGATTCATGCTCATTAAAACCTTCCTGCAACCGGGAAGCGGTATCCACCTGAACGTGTCCAGGCTGTTGCTCTTCTGTGGTCTATTTGACGTGGGGTTTGGGGCTTGTGGGCAGTTTCATGTCTCAAATCTTGCTTGTGGGGTTGCAGTCAGGGAGAGGCAAGGGGTGAATGGATCGTGGAAAAACTGCATTTGTGCCCTAGGAGGGGGGAATCTTCAAATCCAGGCTAGGGCATGGCAGCAGGAGCATGGAGGGGAAAAAAAAAAACCCTTGTGCTGCCCTACTCTGGGTCATACCTCTCTGGAGAGGAGACTTCAGTTAGGGCTGTCACTTCTTGCTTGAATATAATTACAGGTAACTCTATCAAAAAGGGCTGCCTAACGATAGCTCTTTAAGGAGTACTGAAGTGACTCCAACGTTCTGCCTGGCTGGCAGCTGTCCAAACCATTCAGGGTAATAATGGAGAATTTAAAAGCTCTTGACTGGATGATCTTCTGGACATGTGGCCCGATGTGACCAGGGATTGCAATCAGGGCTGCTTGATGTAGAACCAATCCTTTTTGCAGCTGATTTTGCAATACTTACTGAATCGTTGAAAGGAACTCTCTCCCATTCTTACCCTCCCCCCTTTATTTTTATTTTTTTTTTTTTTTTAACTTCCCTGACCAGTTTCCGATGTTTCATATTTTTAAAAAAAAAATCTTGGTTCTTTCTGCACTGTTTGCAGGAGAACGGAGCCAGCACGATCCTACGCGACATTGCCAGAGCCAGGGAGAATATCCAGAAATCGCTGGCCGGAGTGAGTACCCGAGCTCTCTCACCAGCTGGCTACCCGCAACCATTTTTAGCTGTGGTGCATCTCAAAGAACCCCGCTGTGACCACTTCATGGATTGTGTGGCTTCTTAATTTTTAAGTTAGAGGAGAAGACTAAGGCGTGCAGCGCGGTGTACCACCAGCATAGCTCCATCCGACCGAGAGTATCGTTACTACTAGAGTTGCATGCTGCTTACCTGCTTGCTAGTCTGCAGTGCTTTTTAAAACTAACTGGATTTGGGTTAGAAGTCTCCAGCTGTGCATTTCTTTACTTTTTTTCTCCTGGTGGAATGCTAGAGTTTGTTGCACAAGTCTTCTCTATTGCACAAGTATCATCTAACAAGTTACGAGTCACTGTTAAAATAAACCTTGCTGAGTAGTAAAGCACTGAGCTGCCAGCAGGAGTATGTATGGCTCTCTTGGGGTACACTGAGCTGCCACCTTCTCTTTCCTGTTTTGCTTTCAGTTAGGGTATGTGCAAAAAAATGGTATCTTCCATCTGCTGCATCTAGGGAATTCAGCTTGGCTACTACCTCTAAGTCTGGATTGTCCCGTAGAAGTTCAGTCACATCCTTTCTGATGGTGTTTTTGTGCTGATATGTGCAGACAGCACTGTTAAAACTCTTTAATTTTTTTCTATAGGAAGCTGAGATCTTAACCTAATAAGTGGAGTGGTTTCATGGGTGAAGAAAATTCACAGGATACAGCCCATGTGTCTTTATTTCTTATCTCTGCAGTGGGGCTACTACATACCCACGCATATCTTCCATCTGAGGGTATCCATCCTTCCGCTGTATTGATTTGGCCTCATAACTCCTTCTTTGGGGTAGTTAACATCCTCAGTTTCTGTCTAGATCAGTACAATAACAGAATCGAGCCTTTTTCAAGGGGAATATTTCATATTCCTCCTTAACACGAGCAGAAGGGAACCATACATTTAGGGTGAACGTGAAAGAGTTAGGCTAATTGCTTTCCCCCATGGTAGTCTCACTGTGCCTGTTGAACTCAACACCACAAAAAAAAAAACAAACAAACTTCTGCAACCGCACATGTGAGCAATCCAAGGTACTCAGTAGTGGACTGGAAACTTGGCAGTGGATGCAGGAAGAGCAGGGCAAATTTGACGAAAGGATTAAATTTAGTTAGATTCAGTGGCCCTGAATACAGCTTGAATATTACAGCAGGGGAATCAATGGAAAGTTGGGACATCTCGGTAATGTTAAAAAGCAACCAACCCATGTTGAGGAGGAAAATACTTTGAAGTTTTCTAGTGCTAGTGTCTTATTCCAGCATCCGCATTTCAACCAACAGCTTAGGGAAAATTTTCATGAACTGGCTCATTTAAATTCAGATCTGAAATAACAAGACTGGACTTTCAGTAGAGACTCTCATCAGGCCCTGTCAAAGACTTTTAGTTTGGACTTCAGTAGGGCAGATATGTGGGGAAATGAGCCCCATCCCAGACAGGCTTGGGGAATTTTTTGCACAGTGTTAAATGCCTTTGGAAAGACCTTTTCAGGCTGGACAAGGTTACTGCTTCCTCCAAGACCTGCCTCCTCCAGGAGCAGAGGCTGGATGCGGTGAGCAGGGACAGGAAACCTAAATACAAATCACCTGGCAGAGCTGCTGGTCTGTCCTGAAGGTATATTCTCATTTTGCAGAATGGTCTGTGGTTTGCCAAAGATGGGGAGTTTCTTGCCCTGGCCTGGACTCCTGTTAGAGAGCTTCTTTGTGTGAGAAGCATGTAAATTGGATTGTCCAGGCCCTGTCATGGGGAAGACTGGGGAACTGGCAAAGCACCAGACCCAAAGCCAGAACAGAAATTTGAGAATATAAAGTCCTTTCCACCCCTGTGGCACTTGTTGAGGTCAGTGCTGAGTATAAAAAAAAAATTAATCTGCTGGATTTTTTTTTTTTTTTTTGTTCCTGTGAAGAAAGCTTGGTGGGCTTGAGGATTTAAGATCAGGACTTGAGCCAGAGGACCTTAAAACTGGAATCTGGCGTGTCACAAAAAGTGGACTGAGACCTCCAGTGAAGACTTGAAGGAAAAGCATTGTGTTACTGCGTGTCTGTATTAGGGGAAGCACTTTCTGTTTTGTAATCCCATTTAACTCATCGTTCCTTAACCCTGGTTTATACAAGACCCTGGAGAGCTCACCTTTTCAGTTTTTCCATACATTGCCACACCTCTGCCCTGGAACCTCAAACAGATAAATCACGGTCGGGTCTTCTGTGTTAACGTGTGAGTTGAAAAGACTGAGCTGTTGAGGAACAAGTCTGAAATATGAAATAATCAGCTTTTGCGGCTTGCATTTCTGAAGGATCATCATTGCTCTTGGACAGCCATGGCATAAAGCAGGCTTGACTTTAGAACATGCTTAAACTTTGTTTTTATGTTTCCGCCAAATTTATACTGTCTGATCTACAGAACGATAGTGAGGCATGTTTTTATAGTCAGGATTTAGTCTCTCCTCCCACCTGAACATGCAGGGTTATTGTCAGGAGTCTATAAAGATGTAGAAGGTGAAGAGTTGTCTCTTATCAGATGGGAAGATGAAAGAGTAGTGCCTCTTGCTGTGAAATTCAGCCAAGGCTGGTTTCAGATCTGCTTCGGCTGGATAGCGGTCTTCTGAAATGTGTGAATGAGCATCGGAAGGGTTGAGGCGATGGTTTGTACCTCCCGAAGGAGGGAGGGTACAAAGCTCTGATGCCGGAAACATTTGTTTGCACATACCTTTCATCCTGCTATGCATGGTCATCTCTGCTTTAAACAGCCTCTCCAGTTGGCTCGATCGCTAACGCTTTCCTCGCTATCGAGTTGTTAACGCGTGCGGTACTGCAGCTGGCGGCGTTGAGACGGCGGGGTGGTGAGAGATCTTGCAGCTGGGAACCCGAGGCACGGGAGGGATTGACTTGCCTGAGATCATAAGCAAGTCCACCGGAGCGGGTGACTGAACTCGCACTTCCCACAACCTCCCTGGGGGCTGTAACGAAAGAGGTGTCGCTGGTAGGCAGCTGGTGTGGGAGTC